CCCCAAAACCCCAAAACCCCAAAACCCCATGAATCAATATTACATGTAATTTTGAAATAATTATAATTTAAAGTATAATGGAATCCAATTTACTAGGCAAGAGAGTAGAAAGAGATGGGGAAAGTAATTTAGCTAATGTTTAGCAAGACTCTGAGCAATAGGTCCATCATATCAATAAAAGACCAAGAGTCCCTCTGCTTGAGGGCTGCAGATCAGTTGAGTCATTTGAATATTTGAATAAAATAGATGAGGGAGCTTATGGGGTAGTTTACAGAGCAAAGGATAAAAACAGTGGGGAAATAGTAGCAATTAAAAAGCTAAAACTAGATTAAGAAAAAGAAGGTTTCCCTATAACAGCCCTTCGAGAGCTAAGTACTCTAATTAGTCTTAAGCACGACAATATTGTTAATGTAAAGGAAGTTGTCTATGGAAGTAGTCTTGATAAAATCTACGTCGTGATGGAATATATGGATCATGAATTAAAATCAATCTTAGAGGATAGGAAACTAAACTATTCGCATGCTTAAATAAAATGCCTTCTAGTCTAGATTCTTAAAGGAGTTAACTATATGCATAAGAGGTGGATATTTCACAGAGATTTGAAGACTTCTAACTTACTCTATGGAAACAACGGGATTCTTAAGATATGCGATTTTGGGTTAGCCAGAAAATTTGGTAGCCCACTAAGACCATATACAAATCTCGTTGTGACACTGTGGTACAGAGCACCAGAGCTACTATTGGGAACCGATGTATATTCTCCTGCAATAGATATGTGGTCAGTTGGTTGTATTTTAGCAGAACTAATCTTAAAAGATCCACTTATGATGGGAAAAGGCGAAATGGATTAACTAGATAAGATATTTAGAATACTGGGAAACCCTAACTAGGAAAATTGGCCTGGATGGTAAAAGCTAAGATTTGCCAAGTTGATTCAACTTAATAAGAAATTCAATAAAAACATATTAAGAGAAAAGTTTCCCATAATGCCTTTGACAAGGGATGATAATATGTACTTAAGTGATGTAGGTCTTGACCTGTTGTAGAAAATGCTAACCTATGATCCTGCCAAAAGAATCACAGCGGAGGAAGCATTGTAGCATCCCTGGTTTAAAGAGGAGCCGAGGCCTGAGAAGATTGAGAGCATGCCATAGTTTGCATCTCTAAATGAGATGTCTAGAGAGTAGCTTAGAAAAAAGAGAAAGAAGAGTTTGGATGAAGATCAGAGAAAGCAAAGAGAAGAAATGTACGAAAAAGAAGAGAGATTTCAAAACTTGCAGCAAAAGAATTATCTAAATGTGTTCTGATTTTAAAACTAGAAATAATTAATTACTTAATTTCATGATAGCCCTTACTAATGATAATCTTTTAATGATGGGGTTTTGGGGTTTTGGGG